AGTTTTTATATCACTGATGTTTGCCTTCAAACAGTATTATATTGTTTATTCAGTGTTCAACTTGGTGCTTCAGAGTAACTTAAGCATGTGTTAATGTGAAGTTTATATACATGCTTTTGACTATAAGTGGGAATTTGTTTGGGTTTCTTGGAGTATTTCATCGTGGACTGGGAAAATACACAAAGGATAAAAGCTGGATTTATAGGAGATAAACTGTTGCATTTACTTAGCTACATGTAGCAACTAGCCAGTAGATGACCATTCATTTTATTACACATTAATGTCTCACACTAATGATTTTTCCCATTAAATTCTTTTTGTTTGAACTTTGAACTCCTCCACAGGTCTTTATATGTCAATATCAGGTTGGTTGCCATCTCCTGTTTACCAGTGATATGTCCTTATTTGACACAAATCTCAACTCTCAAAGTAAAAACATCTTTGAGCGTAAACTGATGATCTTAAGTATGTTTTAGTAAATTAACGGTCCAATCCCTTCTTAACGTATTATTGCATGTATTATGTGTTGAATAATTGATTGAATTGTTAATTTTCCTTGTGAATATGTTGTACACCACCTTATCATTGAAGACCAGTGAGTACTGCATATATCTTAAAGCAAACTCTTTTCACATGACTGCAGTGGCAAATCACCCCTATACCAAGTATCTATATTTACCCTTTACAGTTTTTACATAACCTTTATGTGCCAACAGACCTTATAATACAAACCATGTGTCGAGGACCGAGCGTATAGAGAAGCTCTGTAATGCAGAACTTTTATGGGTCCCTTTTGGATAATCATTAGTGGTCTGACCTTAAAATAAAGAACTCATTTGCTCTAAGTATATTACGAATACAAATGTTTAGTCAAATGAGATTTAGGAGCAACTGACAACTCTTTCTAGGCAGGGTGAACTGATAAAGAGTTCACCGCTAAACACATATTACACAAAATCTATTTGGAGAGTTATGGTATCTAACTCTTATTATTTGTTTTTAAATAATTAGCCTCAAATTTGATTTTTAGATTAAACATATGCAGTGACTTGACATCGCATTCAATTATATTTTCACAGGTGATTTAATATAGAGGAGTTCAACTGAGTTCAATTCCACCATCAGGCCGGGGTCTTTCTGTGTGGTGTTTGAGTGGGTTCTCCGCGGTACTTCGGCTTCCTCCCAAAGACATGCAGGTGGGGTTAGTTTAATTGGAAACACTAAATTGCCCATAGGTGTGAATACGGGAGTGAATGTGAGTGCGATTGGTTGTCTCTGTCTATGTGTT